TATGACATGGCTATTTCTTGCAGGGGAGGGGGGAGCATTATTCTGATGACAACAGTAACATGCACTTCTTTTAAAAAATCAGAAAAATATGGGGCACCTGGGTGACTCAGTCGGTTAAGCGTCTGACTTCGGCTCAGGTCATGATCTCATCGTTCATGGGTTTGAGACCCACATCAGGCTCTGTGTTGACAGCTAGCTCAGAGCCTGGAGCCTGTTTCAAGCTGTATCTCCCTCTCTCACTCTGACCCTCCCCTGCTCACGCTGTCTCTCTCTCTCTCTCTCTCTCAGAAATAAAAAAAACATTTTTTAAAAAACCAGAAAAATATGATTAGCCAAAAAACAACATATAAGCACTGTAATACCACTCATTTATAGACGAAGTTAACGTTTTGACATAGGTATTTCTGTGTGTGTGTTTGTATATAAAATTCTTTGAAAAACGGTGTAACACCTCTTTATCTCCAGTCACTCTTTTGGTAATCCCCTTTGGTCTCATGGATTTAAATCACACCTAAACACTTAATGATTCTCAAATTTACAATTCAGCTCTGACCTGTTCCTGAGCCTAGTAATACAACTGCCTCCTTAGGATCCCACTGGATATTTAGTAGGCATCTTAAACTTAATGTATCGGAGACTGAACGCAAACCTGACCCCCTGCAGTCTTCCCAGTTCATTAAAGAGCAACTCCATCTTTGCTGTGGCTCGGGGTAAGACCTGTGCCTCACCCTTGACTGCTCTCTTCCTCTCCCATCCTGCATGTCATTCATTAGCAGGTCCTTTAGAATTCATTCAGAGTCTGGTTTAACAGCATCTCCACCTGATCCCTGTCTTCTCATCATTTCTCATCGGGATCATTGCATTGATCTCTAGCTGGTCTCCCCATTTCTGTTCTTGCATCCCCATCAGATTCTTTTAGAACAGAAGTCACATCAGGTTCTCCATTGTCCCATCGCTTCCCTTCTCACTCTGTTCTTCCAGTCCTATCTATGGCTGGCTGTCCCTCTTTGACCTTCTCTCCTATATTTCCTCTTATTAACATCAAGCCACACTGGCCTCCTTATTTATATGTCTGTTATGTGTCTTCTCTTACTAGGATGTTAGCTTTATGAGGGCAAGAACTTTGTTCTGTTTTGATCATTATTGTATCCCCAGTGCTAGACTATTGCATGACACACGGTAAATGCTCAAATGTGTCTTGAATGAGTGCTTTATAATCTTCCTTTGCTCTCTCTCAACATATTACTTTGCTCTTTTTTGAGCATAGCTTTGTGGAGTAACAAGAAGTAGTCATGGTAAGATTTGTTAATTATGAAGAAAAAATGCCACAGGGCCATCTTGGTAGCTCAGTCGGTTAAGAGTCCAGCTTCGGCCCAGGTCATGATCTCATGGTTCATGAGTACAAGGTAGATAGACATCAGGCTCTGTGCTGATGGCTTGGAGCCTGGAGCCTGCTTTGGATTCTGGGTCCCCCTCTCTCTCTGCCCCTCTCCGACTTGTGCTCTGTTTTTCTTTCTCAAAAATAAACAAACATTAAAATTTACAAAAAAGGAAGGGAGGGAGGGAGGGAGGAAGGAAGGAAGGAAGGAAGGAGAAAAATACCACAGAAAGTTAAAAGACCTGAGTTTGAATCCTGGTCCTCCCATTGGCTATGACTAATTTAGTACCTAACTCACTCTTGTTTTCCTTCCCTGTTAAATGAGAATACATAATAATAAGTGTCATCATAGAATTGTCTGGGAAAATAAAGTGAAATGAAGTATTTGAAAGTGGATTATAAACTCTTGAGTGACAGACAGGTGGGAAATCAATTCAGATCCGCAGCCTTTTTTGTTTGTTTTTTGACAGTTGCAACGTGCCAGCTTGTATAGTGAGCTTTGAGGATTCCAATGTGTACAACACGGTCTTAAGTCTGACTGGCCTTTCCCCCTGTGCCTTGCCTAAGGCCAGGTCCTCATCATCCCTTTTGGGTCTGGGCTTTATGTTACCAGGGTCTAATAACTCTTCTTACCACCATTCCGATGTTATCTCCTAAACACCAGAGCTGATTATGTCACTTACCTTTGTAGAGATCGCTGTTGTTTCTCCACTGCCAACAAGGCAAAATCTAGTCTCATGGCCTCGGTTTACATCCTGGTCCAGCTTATCTCTTATCACTGGCTCCGTATGTACACCAGGCTTCTGCCTCACTAACTCGCTCAGTCTTCTCTGAGGTGGCAGGGAAGGGACCAAGTTCCATCTGTGACTCTGTACATTAAGTCCCCAGCCTCAGCCTCAGCCTGGAAAGCCTGCCTCCTCCTAGGGTTTTTTTTTGTTGTTGTTGTTGTTTTAATCCTTTAAGACTTAACCCTGACATTGACCCATCAATGACTCGAACCTTCTACTCCCCAAGGAGGGTTAGTTTCTATAATTTTCTCTGTTCCCACAGCACTTCGTGGGGTTGTTTGTTTGTTTTTTGTTTTTTTTGGTTTTTTTGGCATGATGTTATTTAGTCTGCGGGCCTTTGAAGTGCTGAGATTATGTCATTTAGGGTAAGATAATGAGACTGACAGTCTACCTAAGAAGGTGTAATGGATTGAATGGTGGCCTTCAAAACAATATAGCCATGTCCTAATCCGTGGAATTTGTGAATGTGACTTTTATTTGGAAAAAGGAGTTTTGCAGATGACATTAAGTTAAGGATCTTGAGATGAGATATCTTGGATTATCTGAGTGGGCCCAATTCAGAGATGAATCTCCACACAGAGGAGAGACATGAAGAGAAATCACTGTGAAGCCAGGGACAGAGATCCCAGTTGTGCATCCATGAGCCGAGGAATACCAGGAGCCCCCAGGAGCTGGGAGGGGCAGGGAACAGCCTTCCCTTAGGGGCAGTGCAGGCCTGCTCACACTTTGATCTCCGACTTCAGCCTCCGGAACTGTGAGAGAATACTCTTCTGTTGTTCTGAGCCACCCAATTTGTGGTACTTCGTTACAGCGGCCCTGGGAAACGAATACAGCAGGTCAGAGTACAATGACTGGAATACAGTAAAATATCATTGTCGTCACCAACAGTAACATTATCATCGCTGTCATTCTTAACCCTAGCATGGGACCTGAAGAGTAGCTTACACTTAGAAAACAGTGGTCGAATAAAAATATGGTTCTTCCCGATGAACTTCCAGGCTGTTTTGACGGCGGAGGTGTTGTTGGGAAGTGTGCTTACAGGGAGCTTCCAAAAGAGATCCCCCTCGGAACTTTTTTGTTTTAAATGTCTTTTTTGTATGTTTGTGTGAAGGGGGGTAGTGGATGTTTTAAATTGTTTTTTTAGAACCATTTTTTTGTAGTTTTCCATAAACTGTCCTTTTATTTTTTTTTTTTTATGTTTTTTTTTTTTTTTATTTCTAGGAGAGAGAGAGAGAGAGACAGCGTGAGCAGGGGAGGGTCAGAGAGAGAGGGAGTCACAGACTGAAACAGGCTCCAGGCTCTGAGCTGGCAGTCAGCACAGAGCCCGACGCGGGGCTCGAACCCACGAACCGCGAGATCATGACCCAAGCGAAAGTCGGACGCTTAACCGACTAAGCCACCCAGGCGCCCCTAAACTGTCCTTTTAGAATAAGACTAATTTTGTACAAACAAGTCATAGTGTCCCCCTGTTTCCCCCAAAATAGAAAAATGATGAGCAGTTACAGTTCTGACAATAAAAAAAAAACAACTTAAAATGTCTTCTTTTTCCTATTAGAATGTTATTTAGTAAAATTGATTTCCTGCGGATTGGCCGCGAAATACATTAGAGAGGTACTTTGGAGCAATAAAGTAATTTATTTCATTCTGCTGCAAGGTAGTTGAAAACCAAAATTTTCAAATAATCATAAACTCAAATCTGGTAGGCCTTATGTATCATTTGTATGTAAATTGGAGTTAGCCACTGGAAGCCAGGTCTGTGACCTAACTTTTATTCAAGTTTTATAAATTGGTATAATAATAATAAAAGCTAATGCTATTGAGCTCTTGCTCTATGCCAGGCACTGTTCCAAGTTATTACATGAATTAACTGAATTCATTCTCACAGCCATCCTGTTCTCCTAGCTCGAGGGGATGCTGAGGCACAGAGCGGTCAATATCACGATAGCTTAAGTGGCAGACGCTCACAGTGGCCATGGCTCCTAACCTCTGCACTCTCTTGACCCTCCATGGACTGTGTCCGCGTTCATTGTCGAATACAGTTTGGAGTGGAGACTATCAGTAAATCTGAGTAAAGCATCCTCCTCTAATTCCATAGATTCACACTTCAGTGTGCCTATTTCTCTACAGAGATTCTGATTCACGGGGCTGGGAGTACGCAGTTTTAGTAAGTGTTAGGCAGTTCCGGCCATGGTTTGAGATGCACTGATCTCGTTACCATACAAGCCTCACAGTTCATTTCACATGAAGGCCCCAGTGGTGGTGGTGATGATGGTGTGCTTATGTTAGGCAGTTGCTTGAATCTATCTGTATTCCAGGGTGAGTCTATTGAATACAGACATTTATCTAAACTTAGACCTCAAGTGCCTGCACTACTAATCACTTTTTTTTTTTTTTATTTTTTGGTAGAGAAAGAGTAAAAGGCCAGCATCAGAGGGATTTTTTTTAACCTTTTGAATGAGTTTCAAAATAGGGTATATTTGATCTGAGGAAGTTGTAAGGTCTGTAGACAGAAGAAAATAAACACGGCATAGAATTTCTACCCTACGGGGATTTTTTGTATATTTATTTTTTGTTTAGAAGAAAAGTGTAGTGTACATTGTATTTCACAGTAGAACAGTAATTCCAGAATTTGGGGCTACTCTGGTTGTTAACTGTAGGTAAGGGTTGGGGGATCCTCTCTCATGTTTGGTGAGAAACTTTCACCCATTTGTACCGCCAAGAAGCCTGATTGTATGTGTTTTAGAATATAGAGAAACCACCAAGCTTGCAGTTTTACTAACTTCAGTATCTTAATTATATATTGAACTGGCAAAAATACGCTTTTTTTCTTCTAGGGAATCACAAATCACATTGAGCCAAAAAACACCCAGTGTTTTCTGCCGTTACAAACAAAATGAATATTCCTGTGTTACTACAGCATCCTCACCGGCATTTCCTAAAAGGCCTTTTAAGAACACCTTTTCGATGTTCCCACTTCATCTTTCACTCAAGTACTCATCTCGGATCAGGAATCCCTTGTGCTCAGCCATTTAATTCTCTTGGACTCCATTGTACAAAATGGATGCTGCTGTCAAATGGTTTAAAGAGAAAATTATGTGTACAAACAACTTTAAAGGAACACACAGAAGAACTTTCTGATAAAGAACAAAGATTTGTGGATAAACTTTATACTGGTTTAATCCAAGGGCACAGGACCTGCTTAGCAGAGGCCATAACTCTTATAGAATCAACCCACAAGAGGAAAAAAGAGCTAGCCCAGGTGCTTCTTCAGAAAGTATTAGTCTACCACAGAGAACAAGAACACATAAATAAAGGAAAACCACTAACATTTCGAGTGGGTCAGTCTTTTTTTTTTTCCTTTAGGTCTTTTCAATAAATATTTTTCTACATTTTGTCTGTTTTGAAATAGGTCTAAATAGTTTGCCATCTAATGGGAATTCTTTTTTTTCTCTTCAGAATTTTGTGCTAGATTTTAAATGCCTTTTCTTTGCAAATAGTAGTACTGTTATGTTGGGGGCTGGGAAACTGTCATGGTCATTTGAACCAAGGCTTTGTATTTTAAGAGAATCTCAGAAGATTTCTATTTTGGCAAGAATCGTGCTGTGGCTCCCAGGACAGAGTACGCATGTGAAGAAGTTTTAACCGGTTTGTTCCTCCCTCTTGGTAGTCCTTTTACTTGATAGTCTAAAGTGAATGCCTTGGGTGTGTGTTGATATCAACTATAATTATTACCACATTTCAAAATTCTACTTCTCAGGTGTTTCATTAGTTTCTGTGGGCAAGTCTCACTCTTTCGGGTGCTTTTTGTTAAAGTTTCTGGGAGTCGCTGGGCTCTAAGCATAGCCAACTCAATAGCAAAATGTATTTTAAAGTGAGACCAGATTCACTTGCTGTCTAAAATATTAGATGTTCACTCAATTTCTTGAACAGTTGACCAGATTCCATAGTTGCAAATAAGCTTGTTATATTTTTTTAATTGTGCATTTTAAAATAATGTAGATGTGTTTGGGTGGGAATGAGAGCTCTTCATGATGGCAGAGTAGGTGATTCCAACCAACTTTCCTACTAAAAAGAACTTGAAATGGTGGACAAAATGCAGAAGTTGAATAAATGCACTTAATACACTTAAAAATGGACTGGCATTGCATTAGACATATATCTCAGTTTACTGATGATATGGGATTAAAACCTCCTAATTTTTACGGTAATGGTATGAATTTTAAAGATAGTTTCAAAAAGTTCACCAGCCAACATTTATACTAGTCTACATTGTTCACACATCCTATTCTGCCATCACTGAAGGACTCATTTTGACAGTACTACGTTGGGTGTTAATCTTTACATATTACAGACGGACAAAATAGCAGACTCCGAAAGAGGAATTGCAGTTATAACAAAGTGTTTCCTCGATACACCCAAAAGATGTTTGAAGAGAAAACATCCCAGAAATATCTGGACTTAAGCAGCAACTCACACATAACTAATAACTCACAAATTTTCATTGCTATTCCGGTTCTTTTATCTTGGTCTTATGAGCCCAGATAAACCTGTGTGTCTGTGGTGGTTATTTTATCACCATCATAAATACAAGTAACAGATTCAGCACCCATACAGATGTTTAAGACAGAGACCTGCCCTGAAAACTGCAGAAAGGAGCCAAGCATATACATACTTTTGAATGTGATCACAATTAAATGCTTAAGTTTTATATACTTTGTGAACATAACACATATCTCTTACTTTATGCCATGTGCTGTTCGAAACATTGCAAACATGAACTCATCTAATTCTTAACAACAACCCGAAGAGATAGGTACTATCATATGCATTTTATTGAAGAGCATACCCAGACACAGAATGGTGAAGTAACTTCACCAAGATTACACAGCTCGTAAGAGGCAGAGCTAGAACCAGGCCTAGCCACCCAGCTCTGGTGTGTGTGGTCTTATCTGCCGTGCTCTGTGAACTCTCCTAGCAGGGGTGCTTTGTGCCTCTCTTAAGACAAATTAATTTTTTCAGGATCCAGTTTATCTGATACATTTTGTGTTATGGGTGAGATGAAACAAACTATCTTTCATAAATAGAAAATTATTTTCTCAGTCACTGGGAATTTCTAGAGTAGTGCATTGTTTTCCCAATGGGAAGATAAAGTACAGCACGGGGCAGGTGGAATCGTTACTGGTCACGATGAGAGGCAGACAGATGTGGAAATGCAGCACATTAACGACAGAGACAATTAAGTCTGTCCAAAAAGATCTACAGTATGGTAAAAAGGCAAATCATGTTTTGTAATTTTATAAAGCAAATTTGGTGAACATGCGGATCTCAGGATTGTTTTCTTCCTATGTCCCTGTGAGTCAGGAACTAGATAAATGTGTTTTGTTACAGTGAAATACATTAATGAAGGTTTTAATAAATTAGAAATAATTTATTATTTAAATTTATTTATTATTTAAATAGCAGAGAAGGTAATCTGCTATTTGGATAGAACTTATCATAGTGCTGATTTCATTTCTTAAATTAGAAGGATTCTCTCTACTGTAGGATTGTCTGGGCCCCCTGGTGCTGGAAAATCAACCTTCATAGAATATTTTGGAAAAATGCTTACTGAGAGAGGCCACAAATTATCCGTGCTAGCTGTGGACCCTTCTTCTTGTACTAGTGGCGGTGAGTATTGCTGATTCTTCTTAAATTGCAGAGCAGGGGCTCGTAGGGCTCTCTGTTACAATTTAGTGGGAATTTGCATGATCAGGGGACTTCTAACCTCTAGCAGAGTTTGGCCACTCTAAAAGAAGGGGGTTCTAGAGGGCAGGGGGTAGATTGAGGGAGGTAGTTTGGGGCATTAGGCTTCTTAGTTTGTGGGTGGTCCAGGAGTAGCCTGGCTACTTAGAAAACTAGGAAAACAGGTGCCAGAAGTGGAAGGTCATCAAAAGCAAATTGGAGGTCTCTATCACACCTTCGGCTAGGCCCCCTCTTCCCTCTTGTTGTTTCCTCCTGGCAGTGTCAGCCCCTACGCGCTTCAGAAGATGGGTCAGTCTTTTCATTGCCTTTTTTCTTATATTATTGTAACATCTCTTAAGCTTAAGAGAAAATTTTATTGCTCTTTATAATTTGTCGCCTGTTAATATTATGTGTTTGGTTCAACAGAGAGCTCTTAGAGGGACCATGTAATAGACTGCTGTTGCCCCTACAGCACTGAGTATGGTATGTCACGTACAATGCTCAGCAGTTACTGATTTGGGGTCACACAGTCACTCAGAGTTTAACTCACAGCTCATCAGAGATACAATGAATAAACATAGTTTCCCAGAAGGATCTTCTAAGGAAAACATAAAGCATGCGGTATAAATACTCAGTAAAGTTTTTCCTCTTTTACCCCTCTTTATGATTCAAGCGTCTCACATTGCAGTTATTCATTTAACAGGTATTTGAATGTCTGTTATAGGCAAGGCATTGTACCAGGAAGGTACTGTGTTATGTGATGGTGCATAAGACACATTCCTCTTGACCTTTGGAGCTCTGTATCTTACGTGAGAAACAGACATGTACACACAGGCCCTTACAGTGTAATGTGTGTTGTGAGGAGGAAATACAGGGCACTTTGTGGAAGTGTTTGGTTTGCATACTGTGGGTTTAAGGCTAAAATACAGAGATGATATAATCATATTTTAGGGACTTTAGGTCAGTAGAGAGGTGGACAGCAATTCCTATTACCACCCATTGAGAACTTTAGCTGAGAGTATGCACACATTTTGAAGGATGCTTAGCAGTATCCTTAGCCTCTACCCACCAGATGCCAGTAGCATCCTACCCCCAGTTGTGACAAGTAAAGATATCTCCACACATTGCCAGATTTCCTCTGGGGTCATAATTGTCCCCAGTTGAAAACCATAAAGACAACAATATTAAGAGGATGGTAAAGAAGCCATCTTGGCTGGAATGGAAGATTGATTTGGGGACCAGTGGAAGCTGGGATTGGATAGGTGGGTCTGCATTCCTTGGGCCTTTAGTGTGAGGCTGGAGAATCTAGATTTGAACCTCTAGTCAGTGGAAAGCGGTTATAAATTTTGAGGGCCTTGAAGTGTTAAAAAGATTAATTTGGCATCATATATGCTGTGTTGCACTAAAGCTCAATTATATGAAATAATTTTGAGATTTTGGGAGAAATGTCATTAGGCACTTCCCCTGGCATTGGCTGATTGATAACTGGACCTTATAGGTGTTCCACGATTAAAAAATGTAAATATGTGTTTTAGGATCACTCTTAGGTGATAAAACCCGAATGACTGAGTTATCAAGAGATATGAATGCATACATCAGGCCGTCTCCTACTAGAGGGACTTTAGGAGGTGTGACGAGGACCACAAATGAAGCTATTCTGTTGTGTGAAGGAGGGGGATATGACATCATTCTTATTGAAACCGTAGGTGAGTGTGATTTTCTATTTCAAGACAATGAAATTCTATTATAACAGATGCCATATAAAGATGTGTGACAGCTAATACCATTTTGGTCATTCAGCATATATTTACTAACGGTGTAATTAAATACGAGGTACTGTACCTCGGACTCCATAGGGGATATGAAAATATGGCCTATCATCCTCACCTTTAAAGAAGAGGCATGTATCTGGAGAACTGTTACATAAGAGCAGTATGTTGTAAGTGCCAGACAGAACTGTAAACATTGGAAACAGTATTTCAACATAACACCCATTTTATTTAAAGCACATTTCCCTTGTCTTCAATATTCGCTCAGAAAATTCATGTAGCTGGGTACTTTTTTAATACAGGGCCATGTTTTACTTCATCTTTATATCCCATTGCGTTATACACAATGAAAATAGCGAAATGGAAACCTCAAGAAATTCACATTCCTATGGAGTGACAATCTACTGTTACTTAGTGACAGATGTTTGTGACACAGTCTGACTCGGATTTGAGGGATTGTGGAACACTTCAGGAGGAGGTGACAGTTAAACTCTGTATTGAAGGAGAACTTGGAGTTAAATAAAATGAAATAAAGAGAATGAGAGGACACAGCCCATTTAGAGAACTGCAGTTTGCTCAGGATACTTAGCACATAGAGTGTGGAGGCGGCGGTGAAGAGAGATGGGGCTGGAAACTAGAAACTCCATCTAAGGATGGGTGGAGGAAGAGTTGCCCATGCGGTAGTAGGAGAATTAAGGTAGAGGACCATAAAAACCAAGTACATGAGCTGGAAGTTGATTTGGCTGCTTGTCCCAGAGACTCAAAATAACTGGGACTCAAACAGAAAGTGGTTTATTGTTTTGTAAACAGAAGAAGCCTGGAGGTGGGCAGTCCCAAGCAGGCCTGGTCATTGTACCCTGCCCTCAGTGTCCTGGGCTTCCATCTCTGCTCTTCATTCTTAGCACTGAGTTCCCATCGTCAGGGTTGCTCATGGCTAAAAGGCGGCTGATGAAGCTCTAACTGTCACAGCCACGTTCCAGGCGAGGTGGGAGGAGGGAAGGTGGGGGAAGGGCTGGCCCCCCGTAGCTGGGTCAGCTCCCTTTCAAGAACTTCCCTGGAAGCCCCATCTAGTGACTTTGGCTTTCACTAATTAATCATCTCTAGCTGAAATGGGTTCTGGTGACTGTGGGCTTTCATCTGGTACATCAGTGCTCCTAACAACATTGGGATAAGGAAATAGAAAAGAATACATATGGAACGGACAACCAGAAGTCTCTGCCACCCCAACGGACAGAATTTCGAGAGGAGCAGGAGACGTGGAAGTCAGATTTAAGTGTATTGAAATTAATGTGAAGTAATGAAGACCAGTGAGCATACATTGATTTTTTTCCTAGACACTTAGCTCTGAAGAGAAATGAGAAATATGGTGGTAAGTGGAGGAGATCATGAGTTTTTGTCTTTTTTTCCCTGTTTTGTTTTGTTTTCAGATGAGAAAGACATGAGCACAATTGCTATGAGGTACTAAGGGACAAAAGCCCATAGACTAAGGAGGTTAAAGATAAAGCAGGGCAAGGGCACAGAGGAAGCGGGGAGGAAAGAGAGGCTGACCGTCAGCCAGTACTTCTTACGCTGCGACTGGACAGGAGGCAGTGAGCAGAGCTGCTGTTCAGGTCTGCTTATCTGCGGAGGGTGGAGAGGGGGAAGCTGAGGCGGCTCTTGCCTTTATTTCACCGCCAAGCCAAGTAGATGTCATGGCCATCGTCATGTGGGGTGATTGTGGCTCAGTAAATGTTTGTAAAAGCCACTGTGAGAAATGGGAAGGCAGCTGACTGAGGGCGTTTAGGGCCATTGCTTTTACCAGGCAGTGAGGAGGAGGTAGCAGATGTTAGACACCACGATCCTGCCTTGGTGCCTGTTCTCGAGCCATTTCTCTAGCACGCGTACAAAGAGAACACGGATCGTTGGACTGATCCGTGGGTGGGGTTTGCAGGGCTCGTGGGAAGATGAGAAGGGAAGAAAGCTGAAAGGCCTGACAGACATGATCTGGGGTTAGAAGCACACTGCTCAAGCTGCTTACTGATGACAGAGAAGCCAGGAAAGAGTTGCAGGGGGGAGGAGAGAAAGGACATCCCGAGGTTCTCCATTCAGCCAAGATGAAGGCTAATGGGAATAAGTGTAGGGGTGAGCTGGAAAGGGCCACGGTTTGCTCATAGGGAAGGCAGTACATTTAATAAATTCTTCAAAGGTGGGGAGTTTAACATGGGACCAGGTTGAGTGTGTGATCATGAGCACAAGTGAATGAAGTGGGATGGAAATGATGGTCAAGGTAGTTGAGAAAGCCAAGTTACTATGAATATTTTAGCATATAGCTGTGATTTACCATTGCAGGTGTGGGTCAGTCAGAGTTCGCTGTTGCTGATATGGTTGACATGTTTGTTTTACTACTGCCACCAGCAGGAGGAGATGAATTGCAGGTAATTATGTTGACTTTTTTCATATTTCCAGTGTTGTGTTTCTGTAAATTAAGTTGCTGTTAATCTAGGGAAAGAAATATTATTCGTATTGGCTAAAACACCTGAGTCAAAGGCAGAGTCTCTATATTGTGTTCTCAACTTACAGTAATAGAATTTATGACCTCGAGCTAACTGTGCAACGTAGATTTTCCCACCCGCAACATGGGAGTGAAGAGAACACGTGGACAGAGAGACTACTGCTGAGTGGTGTTTGTGGCACAGAGGCGGAGGCATGGTTCGCCATCAGGTTATGTTTCATCAAATGTAACTTGGAGAAAAAAATTACAGACATTAAGGAAAACTTCAAAGACTTTGTTTATGGAAATGCAGATGTTAGCTATAGGTGTCTTCTCTTTTTAAGCACTTAATGATGGATGATTTTGCATCCTGCAGTGTTAGTTCATGAGAAATGGAAGCCATCATGAGTCAGTGTGAATTGTCTCCTGCCACTCATTCATGTGGTGGCTTAATGATATATTTACTCTAATTGTGAATGTATTTTAGCATGTTAGTGTGTAAACTTGGAAGAGATATTATAGGTGACTTCCATAATCCCAACAGCTGGTGGTTTTAAGTAATTTCTGCTGAATAATTGTGATTCCTGGTACCCAGGGTTTGGGCAGATGTAGAGGAAAAGTTAGTTAATCAAGTGCGTGACTCTCAAAGTCTTAGCATTGACCAGTGTCCCATTTTTTGCCGTAATTAAACAAGGTATTTCTGACACGTCACTGTCTTTTTTACTTTAGGGTATCAAAAGAGGTATAATCGAGATGGCAGATCTGGTAGCTATAACTAAATCCGACGGAGACTTGATCGTGCCAGCTCGCAGGATACAGGCAGAGTATGTGAGTGCGCTGAAATTACTCCGCAGGCGTTCAGAAGTCTGGAGACCAAAGGTTAGCTTGCGTTCCATTCTGCGTTTTTCACCGAGTGGACTGTGCACATTAGAAGAGAGGATGGAAGTCCCAAGCTAGACAGATAATCAATCTTTGCTTGTATGTGAGATTACAATTTTAAAAATTATGACAGAGCCAGAGAGTGTAGTCATGATTTTAAATATAATCCTTCAACCACTAGATGTCAAAAACGAGATGTGAGGGGATAGATTAGATTGCTTAATGCTTGACTTGAGCCATTTGGAAGTGATAGCAAATCCATTCTGAAAGGAACCCTTCTTAAGATTATGGAGCAATTAGTGATCTGATTATCTACATTAGAGTTTGAGTAGGAGAGAAAAGGCTTTTGACGTGATCGCTTCCCTTCCCATTATGCTTGTTGGGTGCTATTTTCAATAAGGAAAAAAAAAGAAAAATTCTGTAATAAATGGTACAGTGGGCAGTTTTATCTGCAGGAGGGCACTATGTTATTAAAGAACAAGCTACAGTCACTACTCACTACAGTGAGAGCAGCCACGACCCGCCTTCCTGCCAGCAGCCAGTCTCCCGTAGTCACATGCCACTGGGCTTGGGGCCGTCCTATATGCAGGTGCTGGGTGCTCAGCTCTCGGTACTTGCTGAGTCAGGGAACTCTGACAGAGGTAGGGTATGTGGCTGTTTTCTCAACTGAGTTTCATGTTCTAGCACTGAGGCCTCAGGGAAACCCACCCAGCCCTGCCCTTCTCATCCTGGTGACCCTCTCACACCTCATCCCTGTTGCCCGGCTGAGCAGTCCTATGTCAGAATAAACCCTGGGCTAAAGATTTTGACCTTGAATCAGTGTGTTGTTTCTGCATGTATTTAGTAACCGTAGTAAGTGACCTCAGTCTGTTTCTCATCATATTCGCTTTGACACAGTGATAAAATGCGTCCATTTCACTTGCCTATTTCCATACACCATAAGACCTAATTGGCAGAATTTGGAGTCCCATGAAAATGTTTTCTCTCATTTTAAGTAAAATGGTTTTGGGCTCTTCCCTTTTCAATAGGTAATTCGTATTTCTGCCAGAAGTGGCGAGGGGATCACTGAAATGTGGGATAAGATGAAAGAATTCCAGGACCTCATGCTCGCCAGTGGGGAGCTGACCGCCAAACGACAGAAGCAGCAGAAAGTTTGGATGTGGAACCTCATTCAGGAAAGTGTGTTAGACCATTTCAGGACCCATCCCGCAGTCCGGGAACAGATTCCTCTCCTGGAAAAAAAGGTTCTCAGTGGAGCCCTGTCCCCAGGACTAGCTGCTGATGTGTTGTTGAAAACTTTTAAAAGCAGAGACTCGTGAAGTGTATCATTTCATAAAGTATTTCAATAGTAAAGTCCACTTATATGCTTATATTTTCAGTAATCATTTGTGGTACCCTTGGCCCCATTTGTGAATCATGCTTGAAAAGTCAAAGAATGTTAGCTATGGCCGGCAAAGGTCAGGCAGTCGGCAGTATTTGTAAGGTGTCTGTTGTATGTTACTGATTTCCATTTCTTTCTCTTCTTATACCCTGGCATGGCAGCTGGTAGGATAGTTTCTTCTCATCAGTCATAAGCAGAGAAAGCTGAGGAGAACAAAAGAAGGTCATGTACCTTAAAATGTTTTCTTTGATTCCACATTCTCTGAGTTTCCAGAGAAAATGTAAGCAAGAGTGACCACATTTCTAAATTCTTACTTCAGGCCAGAATCATGCACAGAGGATTTCCAAGAGCTGAAAATCAAGACTGATATTTAGTATACCGGAGTATTCTAGCAATTTCTGAAATGGCTGTGTTCAGTGGCAAAACAGTTGGACTGTGTAGTGATGTGAACACAGTTTTAAAGTCTACTTGTCTAGACCTCTGGATCCCCCTGATAGGTAGGAGAGCCCAAAGGGAACTGGGGGAAATCACCTACAAATAATGTGGCCCATTAATCCCCAAGAGCTGGACTAAACCCTCAAAAGACCAAAGTGAGGTCGCGGTGACTCAAGGGTTATTCAGTTTGAATACTACCAAAGGCTTTTGCTTCTCTTCTTCCTTGGTCATTTGATTTCATAGCGGCTTCTTAAAAATCTGTCTTACTCCTGATGGGGAAGAGCAGGTTTTCCTCCAGAGGATGTGTGGCACAGTGATTTAGACATTGGGTTCTGGAATCAGACTGTGTGGGTGTAAACTTTAAACCTAGATCAGTCATTTATTAGTTGCCTAAGTTTGGACAAATAACCAACCTCTCTTAAGTTTCTGTTTCTTTCCTGCTAAAAGGGAATTGACACATTAACTTTGTAGGATCGGTGTGGATAAAGGAGATAACTCGGGAGAATCATTTTCCTACTATGATGGTACATAGAAAATACCCAGAGGCTGCTTACTATCATTATTATGTTAGTAATCAATACCTCAAACTGTATAAATCTTATATATAAATTGAATTTTCTCTCATGGTCTTACTACTACCATCATGTACTTGTGATATTTTATGATTGTCTTTAAAGTACCTGCTGTAGTTAATTCTCTGAATATATTTTATACTGTTTGATGGTATTTATAAGTGTGTACATTTGAATAAAATTATTTCTAACCATAAAATTTCTCCATTGCACAAAATACCTTCCTAGAAATTTCAAACTTAAACTATTCTGAATCCTTTAGAATATTTTACACAGTATTTCAGCTTTCTGGAATTAAATTACTTGAGTATTGGAGTACCTGGATGGCTCAGTCGGTTGAGCATCTGACTTTAGCTCAGGTCATGATCGCATGATTCACGAGTTTGAACCCCGCATTGGGCTCTGTGCTGACAGCTCAGAGCCTGGAACCCACTTCAAATTCTGTGTCTCCCTCTCTCTCCGCCCCTCCTCCTCTCATTCTCTCTCTTTCTCTCTCTCTCTCTCTCAAAAATAAATAGTAAAAAATTTTTTTTTAATTACTATTATTTTCGCAAACATTCCATAGGTGGGTTTTTTTTCTTTTCTTTTCTTTTTTTTTTTTTTAATAGTGTTACTGGCATTGGCATACCTACTACATCTTACATGAGGGGTTAGGAGAAGCGGAAAGATTATCCAGTCACTTCACCTAATTTCAGAAAGGACAACCATTAAACCAGATGAAAACTGTTTTTAGAATCTTCCAGAGAAAGAGGTTCATAATTTCCCTCAGTAAACTATTACAGGGAGTGACAAACCTGTCATTTGTGGTTCAGCATGAGTAGCAGTGGGAGCACATGCACGCTGCACTATGAAGGCGCCCAAAGACTGGCTTTTCATAGCCCTAAACGGAGCTGTGCATTTCTTCTCAGTTTGAGTTTCTTTTAAATGTTAGAGTCATAAAAAGTATTGGAACCCCTCCCCCTTGTCCTCTTTCCGTTGTCACTGTACCACTGGCTATAACGTGGAGACCAATTTCTAAGATATTGTTTACGTTTATTTGTTATTTACTATACTGGAAGCTGTATAATATAGCAAAATGTTTGTAGCCTTTAAAAGAAAAACCCATGCTCCCTTTTGTTAAGCCATCCCTCCAGGCCTTCTGTGATTCTACCATGTGGAACCCTTGACCTAATCAGAAACATGAGTTTTGACCTAGATGCACACTGTCACATTTCAGCCTGCGATAACTAGCCATATGATTTGAGGCAGGTTTTCTTTACTCTTTTGTATGCACCTTGCATTTCCTTGTATTTAAAGTTAGGGTAAGAATAGCGGCTTTGCAGGGTTGTTGGAATAATTAAATGAGAGATATTGTGGAAAATGTCAACACAACAATTGGTAGGTGTTGTTGGGAATATTATACACTGACAGCGTGTTGTTCTGTAAAATGGACTGGCATCATTTAATTTGAGTTTGACCAAACTACTGAATCCCCCTGTGTCCTGTGTCCCAGTTTCCTCATTATTAAATGGGGTTGACAGTAGGGACTGTCACCCAGAGTTGTTGTAAGGACTGTTTTAGTTAATATACATATAGGACCTGGACGTAGTAAGTACTAAATAAATATTTAAAGAGTAAAATTATGGTTGTTTTAAGGATTAAATGAGTAACTCTCCTCCTCTCCTAAAAGAATAATTCTTTTATGAAAAAAACCTCATAAGTTGACTTTGCTTCTGTCAGTTGTATAATTACCATTATTTTCTGTAGGTCGGTAAAAAGTTTGGATGTAACCTACTTCTCTGTTCTAAAAGGAGCTCTAAAATTGACAGACATTTTGCTAAAACAGTACCAAACTTAATTTACGTGACTACAATTACTTGTACAGTTATAGCTGCAGTTAACATTACCCATCACATGGGGCGCCTGGGTGGCTGAGTCAGTTAAGTGTCCAACTTTGGCTCAGGTCATGATCTCGTGGTTCGTGAGTTTGAGCCCCACGTCGGGTTCTGTGCTGACAGCTCAGAACCTGGAGCCTGCTTCAGATTCTGTCTCCCTCTCACTCTGCTCTTCCCCCACTCATGCTCTCTCAAAAATGAATAAATGTTAAAAAAAAAAAAACATTAAAAAAATTGCCCATCATAATACAACTTAGCAAGGGATTTTTAAAAAAAAATTTATAATGTTTTATTTATTTTTTTGAGAAAGATAGAACCTGAGTGGGGGAGGGGCACAGAAAGAGGGAGACAGAACCCGAAGCAGGCTCCAGGGCCCAAGCTGTCAGCACAGAGCCTGATGCAGGGCTCAAACTCACTGAGCGTGAGATCTTGACCTGAGCCAAAACCGGATGCTAAACCGACTGAGCCACCCAGGCACCTCAGGGAATTCTGTCTTTATTATCACTCTATTATGTGGCTATTTACTTATTTCCCAGAGTGCATGTAGCTTTTGTAGCTCTGGTATACACTGAAGATGAAAGGTAATGAACGGCATGTATATAATACTCACTGTTTATGCAGTTCAACTTTAATACAGAAAAAAAGAAATAACAGGAAAAATCAGTGAAAACAATTGTAACATTACACCCACCCAGTAGATTACCGTCGTAGAAGTCATGACACTCTTGCTAAAAATTAGTAAAGTACAAGTACTTTGAGAAGAGAAGCAGCAGCTTTTATGATCTCTACGTTTGTACAGATGGTGGCGCTCAGCTGCTCCTGAAGCCTGAGAAAACCATATGGGGAAACACAAATGCTTTCTAGAGCCACTTGCTGAAACACCTCAGAAGATCGAGTTCTCATCATATACGGGGTGTATGTAGGGAGCCCCTGTAACTCAGGTAGGGTGCAAGAGTGATGGCTGGGACCAGTACTTGCTAAATGCTAGCACTGGTATTCAGGTGAAATGAAGAAAATGATGAACAAGTCAACATTTGCCTTGAAAAAGAACAATCAAAAGGCGACTGTAGCCTGTTTATTTTTCTTTCCTTCCACTATCATACTTGAGTTAGTTGGTTAATAATTTATGAACTTTTTTAACCCCCTTGACATAAATGCTTGCTGACAATTCCTGCTCCATGAGGTTCATATAAGTTCACCTTTTTGGTCATTAGTGCTGTTTGATTACAAAATATTAGAGTGGCACAAAAGCAATTATAAAATACTGATTTTTTTTCCAGAAGAAATTTCACTTTGTATTGCGAAATGTAGATGGTGCTAATGTGAGTCAAAGTACATTAAAATTTACCTGTAAATTTGATGCAGAAAGGTAACCTTGGGGCAATTTACTTGGCTTAGCCACCTCAGCTTCCTGATGGGAGGGAGGTGAGTGCACATTAAAGTGAACTTTTCTACTCACAGCAAGACTAAATGCTTAATCTCAATTAATGTTTGCTTTCAGCTAACACGGAGGAAGTCATGTGAGCTCATCCTCAATGCTCTGTAACATCTGCCTGGCCAATGCTAAGGTGTGGTTAGAATTCCATACAGAGATATCGTAGGATGCCAGTAAAACCATTTATCAGGCTCATACTTAAATACCAAACCTCGTTACGTATAGAACCCAACTATTTCAAAGATCAACACTCTTACGAATAAAGTCATTCTAGGTTTTACACTTGAATTTGGCTGACTTGGGATTCCGTCCTATCATGCAGGACCTCAGTCCCCTGGAAAGGCCTCTTGTCACATATTTTTGGAAGTCCCAGGGGTTCCTCACAGATGTGCAAACTACCTCACACTATCGGGTGCAGCTCGCTCCTCTTAGGCTTCTGTTGGGCCTCCGCTATTTTAGCTGCTGCCGTTCCTGTAGGAGAATTCTGCCTTGCTTCCATGTTCCAAACTGTGAGACTCTTAAGTTCCCCAGATAGTGCTGTTCCCTGAGAACAGGTTCCTTGCCTCTCCCCTCACAGGGGCCGCTCCCAGTTACCAGAACATTTCTCATCGTACTCCTGTTTTCACTCACTCAAGCTCTCCTGTCTCCTCCCCCAAACTTCCCCCTCACAAATCCCCCCTTCAAAACATCTGTCAATCGACTCCTGTGAAAGGTGCAGGAGTCGGTGGTCTCTTCCTTTCTGGCGTATCAACTTTATGTTGAGTCACGATCTCCCAGCTTCACATATCGAGGATTGGTAATTCTGTCAACAACCCCTCAAGAGAGGTGTTATGACCCCATTTTACAGGAAAAGAAATTGAACAACCGGGATATTAAGAAATGTATCTAAATTTATTGTTCCTAAATGTGATATACATTAGATTTTGAAAATTACTGTTTTCTAAGTTGCTCAAAGCAAGTTATGAACTTCTTTTCATACTTCCTATAAGATAGTTTCATGACAGATACTGTCTTCATAACTTATAGATGCTTCTGTGGTAAAGGGTAGATTTGTACATAAATCCAGATGGTAAGATCTTGCTTGACATTTGATCTTAAAGACCTTTCTTCTATAACTTACTATCTTAGATTTTGTTCTTTGGGAAACTGGTGCCTCAAGGTATTTTTTCCCCAGTAGACTTTTCTGCTTCTGTTTGAAGATAATATTTTAGATATTAAAAACTAAACCACAATGAAACTTAATATCAGGTTTTATATTAGCCAGGATTCTCAGACAGAAATAATAGAAACCTACCAGTTTGGGCGAAAATCCTATGTATTGGCTTATCCACTCATATGTGGGGAAGAGTAGGGGTTCAGCAAGCTTTTCAGGGACATAAATAATACAAGGATTCTCCATGCCTCATTTCTTCCCCTCTGTGTATTGACTCTGTTCTCCCAGCTTCCTCCACATAGACGGAGATGTGGGGCCCAGCACTTGGGTCCACGGGAAGAACTTCTCTTCTCCCCATAGCTCCAATTCTGAAAATCTCGGGGAAGCACTCAGACCAGCCTGCCTGAAAGATCAGAGGTTCATCTCTGTGGCCAGAGGTATGAGGACTGGGATTGGCTGAAACACACGGACTCCAAGGCAAGTGGGGGGTGGTCACAGAATGAGACTGCCAGGCAGACAGAACATATATCTGCTACAGATGATTTAATCTGTTCTGGGTTTTAGACTAAGGTGAAATATAAATAAATGTTATTGATATATTAAAAGGTCTGGTTTTTGTGAAAATGATTATTAGCCCAATTGTTGGCAATATGTCACCAAAACACACAAGTGACATTCATGTACTCAGTTGCTGCTTATTTTTATTTTTTTATTTTTTAAAAATACTTTTATTTATTTCTAGGAGAGAGAGGGAGAGACAGCATGAGCAGGGGAGGGTCAGAGAGAGAAGGAGACACAGACTGCGAAATAGGCTCCAGGCTCTGGGCTGGCAGTCAGCACAGAACCCGACGCGGGGCTCGAATCCACCAACCGCGAGATCATGACCTAAGCGAATGTCGGACGCTTAACCAACTAAGCCACCCAGGCGCCCCAGTTGCTGCTTATTTTTAAACTCATATGGCCATCCCACTCTTTTATTTTTTTTTTAAGTAGGCTTTACACCCAGCATGGATCCTAAGATGGGGCTTGAACTCATGACTCTCAGATCAAGACCTGATCCATCCAGATGCCCATATACCACTCTTATTTACTGAAAGTATCTTTCCCTAATCCAGTTTTACAAGTAGAATCTCCCCACCCCCAACACTAGGCTGGTGTTTTTTACCCTTCCTTACAGTGAAGATGCATTTGAAAACAGGAAAGGATCAGTTCTTTAAAGAGGAATGGTTTAAAAAGTCTGGTATAGTTTAGGGATTATTTCCCTTTCATGTCTAACTGAAGAATTTATTTTAGCTCTAACTACCACCTTTACACAGTTGGAGAAGCTGCAACTCATGACAGCCAATACATTTCAAACAAGTGTCTTTCTATTGCATGGTTGGCCTACACAAGACAACTCAGGAGAGGACAGATTTATTTTAAATATGGAGATCTCACGAAAATCCAAAGATTGGAATCAAAGTCCAACCTTCAGGAAAGGAGGCAATGATGAGGACCTATATTTTAAACTCTGGCACATAAAGAATTTGGAAGTCTTCACTCTCACTCATCCTTAGATGAGACTTAGAAATTTAACTTAGAAACAGCTGGTCAAACTGAAAATGAATGATCTTTCTTGGATGTATAGAGAAACCACCTCCCCGAATCTGGAGATACAGATACATCCAGAGGGTCCCAGGCAGTGTCTGCTTATCTGGAACAGAGACTGTTGGAGCCACAAATTAGTGGGAATGCTTTATTGGTCACTCTGAAGAATTGCTGAAATTTGAGGGGGACCCAGTGGGAGTGTGAGAAACTCCTGGGGCTGCAGTCTTACGGGGCCCACACACTTTCATGGACTTTACCTGTAGGAACTGTATTGTCACAGTGAAGACCCAAGAAAAATCCCCTCCTGGCTCTGGCAGGAGAAAGGTGAGAATAATCACGGGTAGGACAGCCAGGATCTTCTCCATAAGGCCTACTCTTCAGGAGCTTTTACCCAGCTAGGGTAAGGGCATTCCTCTCAACCCCTTGTGGGTTTTGTTATTGTTATTGTTACTGTTATTGTTGTTTTTCTCTCACCTAATGTGGAAATGGGAACATGGTCAACAGGGGTCATGGCTTCAAGGGAATAGATTGGAAACTGGCCAGTGAATGGAGTAGGGAGTGGGAGTTGGGGAAGCTATACTACAGGGAAATTCTTGCAAAGGTCACATCCCCGTGGCCATTGAAAAGACTGATATTTAATCATAAGTTTATAGAACACTCCTTCTCCCACAGTATCATCGTCCCAACAGGGCTTCAGTATAATACTAGTGAATTATCGTTGACGGAGTTATAAGATACAGACTCATTCCAAGGAGGAGGAGGATATAAGGAAGCCTGAAGTCAAGAGGGGAGGCAAAAACAAGAATACTAGAGGATTTTGTAGCTTCTGTCCTCTACAGCTACAGCAAACATGAAACACATCCCAACCTGTGTTTCAGGAGGTGGGATAAAGTATGAATATAGTTCCGTTTCTTCATCAAGAACAGTCTGTAAGGCACTGTTTCTTGGGGCGTGGGGGTGGGCCAGGCACGGATGGACACTTCTACCAAGGAACAAGTGATATAGATAAATTGGGTAGAAAATGAGTTTCAGAGGAGCGAAGCAATTTGCTTAAGCAGCCAATAGGACTCAGACTCAAATCTACTTCTCCTCTTTACTCAGTGATCTATTACATGGATTAGAAACGAGCTGTTTTGAAACATACATTGCCTGTTGACCATAATCTTTTAAATGATTCCTTCTCTTCCCTAGTAATCAGTTTATTTAATTCTAGAAATGTCATTGTTTACCAGAGATCTGCTACATATACTACATCTTTATTTAGGATAAGAATTTTAGAAATCATACCACCTTTTTTAAAATACAGTAATGTTGTGGGGCACTGGGGTGGCTCAGTTGGTTAAGCATCCGACTCTTGATTTCAGCTCATGGGTCATGGGATTCTCTCGGGATTCTCTCTTTCCCTCTCTCTCTGTCCCTCCCCTGCTCACACACTCTCTCAAAATAAATAAACACCAAAAACCAAAAAACAAACAAAAACAAAAAACCCTACAAAAACCCAAATCAGTGATGTTGCTAGTTCCAGAAACTTTTTTCCACTCATTTAAGTCACTTGGGGCTCTTGAAATAGTAGAGGATATAGGGGCCACTTTACTCAGTGAATCTCAGAACATTGTGTGGTCCATATAGTATCCATCATATAGCATCACTGTTCTGGTTTGAATTTGCCACCTAAAAAGAAATGTTGATGTGCAAATCCCCAAGATTGCAGCATGTGATCTTATTTGGAAATAAGGCTGCCATAGATGTGATCAGCTAGAATGAAGTCATGTTAGAGCTGGATGGGCCCCAATGCAATATGACTGATGTCCTTATAACAAGACAGTCACGTGAAGACAGACACACACTGTGTGGTGATGGAGGCAGAGACCAGCGAGATGCAGCTGCGAGCCAACAGGTGCCAAGGATGGCCGGAAAACCACCAGCCACGAGGAGCAGGTGAGGGAGGGTTCTACCACATGTTTCCGATGGAGCAGGGGCCCTGCTGACCCCTCGATCTCAGACTTCTGGTCTCCAGAGCTACGAGACAGTACATTTCTGTTGTTTTGAGCTGCCCAGTTTGTGGTACTTTGTGGAGGAAGCCCTAGGAAACTAATATAATTGTCTGAGCCTAACTAGAAAAAGGGAACTCCTACAGAAATTTTATTACACTCCTCTCCACCCCAAATAAGAATATATTCTTTGACTTTCCAATTCCACCCTCCCTCGGTCCCTCGACAACCCATAAAACCAAAAGAACACGAGCGATGCCTCATGTTTCTCTTGTAAAATTTCCTTGCTCGTGTTGGTATTCTATAATTTCTATCATACCTTGGCCCTGAACTCATTCATCGTAAAAAAAGTTTAGACAAGAAGGAAAACCATGTAAAATACAAAATCACATGTAACCCTCCCACTCAGCTGTAATAAGTATTAACGTTTTTATACATAGCCCCTTCAGTCCTTTCTTACAAATATATCTACACACACATATACTTTTTATGAAACAAAATTGGGATCAGAGTGTATACATTGCTTGTAATCAGTTTCAACTTTCAAATAGTAAACATAACCAAAACTAAATTTTAGGAAAGAGAAAAGAGGCTTCCTTTTAAGCTACTCCTAATTTTATCAGTTTTATTTTCCTGTTCCTTTGCACTTTATCCTTCTTTTATTTCCATCTCATTCTGTCGCAACTAGTTTCCTGTGTCTTCTAGACCACATTTTTGATCAGTAAGTTAATACAAATTTCCAAAGGACAGAATTGGTAAGTATGAAGGAAGCGTTCAAAGATCAAGGAGTGACAACTGATATTACTATAACTGACAGACTCAAGCAGTTATTAACTATAACACATGCATGCTCATTTGGCTGTTGGCTACACTTCTCCAAATATCAGAATTTGGCACCTTGTGGGGAGGAGACAGATTTTGCTGAGATTGAAGCTTCAGCTTCATATGGGTTCTTTTTTCTCAAGGAATGTCTGCTTTTTCTGGCCTTTCTATTACTTGTTTTCCTCCTGGTTTCGACTTGGAATGGCATCAGTAAGTTTCTGCCTCCACGGAATACAGCCTTGATATATCTAGTCTGTGGTGATAGAAATAGTGGTGTGTGTGTTTGTGTGTGTGCGCACACATATACATACTGTTTCGACTGGAAAGGGACAAGATTTGTGCATCTGGGTAGAAGTTACATGAATGTACACATATGTAAGTATATCTGTGTCCATTACTGCTTGATGTTATATCTCAATTTTTAAAAACTATGGTCTGATCCACCCTCTTGTGAGACTGTCCAAGGTTTAGGCTGGAGATCTAGTCAAGAGTTACTGGGGGTGCATGGGTGCTCAGTTGGGTAAGCCATGACTTCAGTTCAGGTCATGGGTCTCATGGTTCATCAGTTCCAGCCCCACGTCGGGCTCTGTGCTGACAGCTCTGAACCTGGATCCTGCTTTGGATTCTGTATCTTCCTCTCTCTGTCCCTCCCCCACTCACACTCTGTCTCTGTCTCTCAAAAATAAATAAACATTAAAAAATTAAAGAAAAAAAAGAGTAAATTCCAGAGACTGCAGCCCAGCCATTATCTTAGCTATAGGGACCACTAGCCTTTTCAGCTCTGGGATTATTCCATAGAATAGCGATACCCAGAGATGCTCTCTATCCCACTAACCCAGTTTTGTGGTCACATAAGTTTAGAAAATGCTTCACTATCCAGGCCCCTTTGAAAGATTCGTTAAGCACATTGAAATATCGAAGGCTCTAAGTCCTACAGCAAAGAAACACTTAATACTAACTTGTCCCAAACTTATTTAACCGCGAAGCTCTTTTAATTAATACCTGTTAACACCTCATTAGAATAATCAGCGTATGTTTAGAAGCCTGTTCAAAGCCTACCCACCTGCCAGTACGCCACCTGCTGGTTTTATAGGGTATGAGGTCACTTGCTCAGGAAGCTTCTGTTTTCACTAAATCTCACTCATAATCCAGAGTCCAATTGTCCCAGGGCTCTTGATCAGCATTTTCTTCACATTTAACAAACCAGGGACTGAATTGCCATCATTCAGTTGCAAAAGGAGGTTTTTAGCGAGTTCAGACTCTCAGCTTGAAAGTCAGACCACACACACCAGCGCTGGATATGTCCAAGAGAAATGAAGCATCTGATAAAATGAGAGCAAAGAATGCGTGCAAAGTCTTTTAGAATTCTAGGATATTATAGATTAAATATTTATTGTAATACATTCAGTCAGTCTGTTCTAGTTATTCTCTAATTTGAAGTTTGACTTATTTTTAACAGACTTTTCAACTTCTAATAGACTGATGAACTAAGCTCTAATTCCACCTAAACCCAATTTGAGTCATTTTCACTTAACTAGCAAAGTTTCACCACTCTGAGTTCTGGAGGTTATAGTTGCTAAGGTGATGCCATAATTTATTTGGGAAGAAGAAATAAAAATAATATAAAGGATCAGAATGCTATGATAAAGGACACTTATGCCACAATTTACTTTTTAAAGGGCCATTTTGTCACAGATTTGTTTACTGACTGCCACACAACCTAAGAAGAAGACTTTTAAATGTTTTCTACAAATAATTTTTCACAATCTTTTCTATATATTTTCCTGTCCCCAAATAATATATATTGCCAGCAGAGATTTCTTTAAAACCACCATTTTCACTGGAATTGGTTGAAGCACATGCACGGCTGTTACCAGACCCGGAGTGGGCTGAAAGGGGCTGGGCAGCCGGGTTTTTGGTCCCTTTCCTCCCTCTGCATCTCCATCTTCCTATCTGACCTGGATTTCTCTAAGGAGCCCCAGTTCCATGGGAAAAAAGCAGCTGGGTCTGAAATCTTTGCCTAATTCTTCTAGGGTGAGGGTGCTTATATTCCCAACTACAGTTTTAAGGAAAGCAACTCCTAATTTTAAACACTAAAAATTATTTGCCAAAACTTTTATTCCCAATTGGCCGGTAGTATTGTCAGTCTCCCTCTAAATTTTTAAAAAATGTTTTATTTTTAAGAGACAGAGTGCAAACAGGGGAGGGGCAGAGAGAGAGGGAGACACAAAATCCGAAGCAGGCTCCAGGCTCTGAGCTGTCAGCACAGAGCCCAACGTGGGGCTCAAACTCACAAACCGTGAGATCATGACCTGCGCTAAAGTTGGACACTGAACTGACTGAGCCGCCCAGGTGCCCCAGCTTCACTATCAAGGACTGTTTGAATTCAGCTCCTGGAGCAGCATTCCCAGTATTCAAAGACCAGTTGCATCAGGATCACGTAACAGTTTAAGTATGCGATCCCTGGGCTTCTCCTCAGACCTGTCTGGTCCCTGAAGGCAGAGCTGAGGCCTCTGCATATTTAACGGCATATTTAACAGGCCGGTAGGTGCTCATCCAAACACCTATGGAGATTCTGGTTCTTTAATGCTGATGAGGGGCCTCTTGGCAGTGCTGCTCCCATCTGGTTGCCTCCAGATGAGGCATGACATCTGTGTCTGTAAACCATTCCGCAGGTTATGGGAATGAGCACTGAAGGTGGAGAACTGCTCCAAGAGCTGATTGTTTTTGTTTTAGTTTGCTTTTTTGAGAGAGAGAGAGAGAGAGAAAGAGAGAGAGAGAGAGAGAGAGAGAGAGAGAACAAGTGGGGGAGGGGCAGAGAGAGAGGGAGACAGAGAATCCCCAAGCTGTCCATGCAGAGCCGGCCGCTGGGCTTGATCCCACCAACCATGAGATCGTGACCTGAGCTGAAATTAAGAGTCAAAAGCTTAACCGACTGAGCCACCCAGGCACCCCTCCAAGAGGTGATAAAAGGACGAAAGTTGAAAAATCTATTTTGATTGGCCAATGAATTGTTTGTTACTGTGGCAAAGGATAGGCAAATACTTGAAGCAGCTTTAGAGTATTTATGAGTGAGGGATGGAGGAAATCACATGAATGGACAATTGAATACTATCACCTCTCAACCTAAAAAAGGTTCACAGTGATATTTCAATGACCTTAATTCTTAACCCTGGCTGTCTTTAGAATTCTCCAGGAGTCAGCTTTTAAAATATACCAGTGCCTGGGCCCTACTCCAGACCAGTTAAATCAGGCTCTATGGGGGTGGGATGGGGGTGTGGGTGAGGTCTGAGTTGCTGCTTATTTTAACAGCTCCTGGGGTGACTTTAGTGTACAGCCAGCTTAAGCACCATTGCTCTATGATGTAAAAGCTGTCTGAGTCACCTGCTATTGTTGACATCACAAACAGTTCATTTTGCTTCCAGATCCTCGGAGCCCAGTCTTTAGAAGAAACGAAAGCTTGGCACTGCTCTTTTATCTCTTGTTTCCACCTCTTACGCCACCATCATTAGGTTTCACTGTTTTATTTAGGAAAGCAGTTGCCACCTGCTTTCTTGACATAATTTGGGGCTGTATATTGCTCAGATCAAAGGCCAGAACACTCTATACCTTACGCATTTGCTAGTTAAAATTGGGGGCTTGACGGTAGAATATGTGGAATTTTGCAATCTGTTGCTTGGCAACTTTAAGAGAGTTAAGCCTCTATATTCTGTGACTGTCAGAGTTACAAAGTTTGGTTAGCCCTGTCAATTATTTCTTGAGACTAAAAGGAAATTAGTTCTCCATTATGCAGAGGGCTTGACAAGTTGTCATTCAGCGCAGGCCATCCTTGGCTATGTCACACTTCTTCTACTTAACTCCACAAATTATTCTGCCCTTCAGCCCTCTCACCTCCCAAGAGTTCGATCTGATCAGACGCAAGGCTGGCATAGCTTGGCAGAAAGAAGCAAGGTGGTCAGAGCGTTCTGTGACAACATATGAAGGCAGTTACCGGAAAAAACAACTGGATGAGCCCACACGCAGTCGATTTTCTCTTAAAGCAGGACAGCATTGGCCTGAGTGTAACCAGTAAGATTTCTTTGTAATTTGCACCTGGATATGTCACTATAAATAGACAAGAATGGGAGTAGGAGGAACAAGGTATTGTAGACCCTGCGAGCCTTCATAGGCTTTAACTCTGTGTATTTTCCTGTGTAAATGTCAGCGGGAAGAAGAGCTAAATGTCAGTAACCAGCTGAAATTATGATTATGTTCTCTTTTAGTCTTAACATTATGTATAACTACCTACTCGTGAAGAGATAAAAATGTGAGTATTTGATTAAATTGTAGGTATTTTGTATTCTCTGCTCAGCAAAGAGGTGCTCCTGAGAATTTCAATTTGTTTCTTGTCTAGTTTTTCCACTTTTAGAAGTTGAAAAATTCTCTCAGAGCAGGAAGAAGGTGGACTAAATCTCCCTCTCTTCCCCATCTAGTATGGTCTGTCAATTAATGCAAGCGTTGAGGGCCTGAAAGACACTTTCTGAGTCTTTACTTTAAGCTCAGTTTTACGATAGGCCCACAGAAAAAAATAATTGGTTTAATATGCTGACTGAAACTATAGAAATAAATAATCACAAAGGAAGAACATTTTAATTACTGTCTTTGGTGGGGGAAGGGGTATTGTGTTTCTGGAAAGATATCAGTGAAGGTTTCCTCTAAGCTGGTTTAGGAGGTAGGGAAAGAAAACGCATATTGCATAAAGAAGAGAGTTTGCACAAAGGCAAGGAAGTGTTTAATCCAAGCATGATCAGAGAACCACAAATAGCTCATTGAGTTTGAGACAGAAAGCTGCTAAGTGGAAATGTGTAAAACTATGAGGACTTGTTATGAAATATGTCCCTCTGTATATTAATTGTCTAATATCTTATCCAAATTCTGGAAATTTATTTGAAAATCAATTGGATTGTTGGCTCCAACTTGAGGTGTAATAACTCAAATAATGCCCTAATAATTATTAACTGTATTGCCTTCCAGGTCTTTCCAAATAATCAAAACAGTGCTGAAAGCTTAAATGTCTCAGAATTACTCTTCTATTGGGTGCCTTGTCTAGTTTATTCCAAAAAACTCTAGTCTCTATATTTTTATGTAAAAAGATTTTTAATGTGTATTCATTTTTGAGAGACAGAGTGGGGGAGGGGCAGAGAGAGAGAGAGAGAGAGAGAGAGAGAATCTGAAGCAGGCTCCGGGCTCTGTGCTGACAGCTCGAACCCACGAACTGGACTCTATGCTGAAGCAGAGCTCGAACCCATGAACCATGAGATCATGACCTGAGCCACCCAGGCTCTAGTCTCTGTCTCTGTATTTTTAATTGTGCTACAGTATGTTGACACTTCAATTAATTTTGGAAATCCCTTTGCCAATTCTATCAATTTTGAAATATCTTTTGGCCAGATAGAGGAATCTTTGTGCATGGTCGGGGTCATCCTCTCTGAAAATAGTGTTTGAAATCTGATATCCAAATAGATCCACTCACCAGATCAGAAAAAAATATTTAGTAACTCAAAAAGTATAGAAATATGATATCTGGTAAAAAATGTCCAGAACTTCGAATCTGTGTCCCATTTGGAGTGTGTTCATCTCATGCATCATTCCAACCAATGCTCTCTGTGACATTGCACACCATGACAGACCCCAGCCTTGTGAGGTTTCTCTGTTTTTTTGGGACTCCAGAAATGTAAATATATCCTTGGCACAACTACAGCTTATTCTATTATAGGTTAAGAAGCAGTAACTGTTATAAATGGAGATGAAGGGCAGATTCAACTCATTTTGAAAGCACTGATTAAATTCTAAATTTGCTTTTGTTTTTAATCTCTTTCTTAGTTAATTTTAGCCCCAAGGCAAATGTCTTAAGTTCCGAGCAAAAGCTGTTTGATTAAAATTTTGTAAGGCTCTAAGCAGACATTTTTATACTGCTGTACAATCAAAATAGTCCAAGGAGGATTTTTGAATAAAATATAAAATGACTTATTATTTAAAATGTGTTAAGTCAGGGAAATATTAAGGTATACAAAACACAAGACCTTTTTTTCACTTATTTATTCACCACATACATTGAATAACCATATAAAGCAAGACAGAAGAAACTTGGTAGAAGTGTCAATCATTTGGTTCTGAATCAGTTTTAACAGTACAGTTTTAGCAGTAAATATGTAAAGTTCATAAACATGCAAAAAGAAAGCTCCTGCATTGGGAGAAGGGAGATTAGTGTGGTATACACGGTCATTTATCAATTTCACTTGTCTGCAGAAGTTAAAATAGGAGTTGAATTTTGACATCTAAAGCTAATGTAACACTGTATGTCAACTGCACTTCAATTAAAGAAAAAAAGAGTTGCCCTTTGGAATTCCTAAGACAGGGATATGGCTCAGTATAAATAATTTTAAGTCTTGATGCTTTGTTTATTAAAGTATTTCTTTTATCCATTCATTAAATGATTATATTTATTAAGATACTACCGGAGCGCCTGGGTGGCTCAGTCAGTTGAGCATCTGGCTTTGGCTCAGGTCATGATCTCTCAGTTCGTGGGTTCGAGCCCTGCGTCAGGCTCTGTGCTGACAGCTCAGAACCTGAAGCCTGTTTCAGATTCTGTGTCTCCCTCTCTCTGACTCTCCCCTGCTCTGTCCCTTGCTCTCAAAAATAAATAAAACATTTAAAAAATTTTAAAAAACCATCTATGTGGCTCTTGTCCTCACGGAGCTTAGAGTCTGGTGAAGGAAACAATCACCAGGGAAACAGCTATTTGTGCTTGAAGGTAACAAATAGAGAATTCAGTTAAAATCAAAGAGGGCCGGCAGTTTCTTACAAAACTAAACATGGTCCTACTATATAATCTAGCAATCATGTTCCTAGATATTTACCTGATTTACAAACTTACATCTACACAAACACCTGCAGGTGAATGTTTACAGGAGCTTTATTCATAATTGCCCCACAGTGGAAGGAAACAAAGTGTCCTTGATCACCCATAGGTGATCAAGAAAAAACGGTCACATCCATACAGTGGATGCAATAATTTAGCCACAGAAGACATGGAGGACTCTTAGCTCCACAGCCCAAACTACAAGAAGCTGGTTTGCATATTCAACTATATGATATTTTGGAAAAGCAAAACTAAAACAGCAAATAGATCTGTGGTTGACAGGGGAGTGGAAAGAGCTGAGTGGGTGAAGAACAAGGACTTGTAAGGTCAGTGAACCCATCCTATATGATACAGTAACGGTCACTATAAGACATTAAGTTTCTGTGAAAACCCACAGTACTTCACTGAGCAAAGAGTAACATTTAATATATATATGTAGATTTAAAGAAATTATTTAGGAAGTAGGAGGGTTCCCAGGATGGCATACAAAATGTGACAAAGTAATATAAATGTATATTATGAATGTATGAAACAAGCTCACTGAAGGGGGTGTGGGAATAAAGTGCTGATCTAAGTAACTTTATTTTTTTTAAGTTTATTTATATTGAAGGGGGGAGGGACAGAGCGAGAGGGAGAGGGAGGATCCCCAGGCTCTGTGCTGTCAGCAGAGCACTCCACGTGGGGCTTAAGCCCATGACCTAGGATCATGACCTGACCCGAAATTAAGAGACAGATGCTTAACTAACCGAGCCACCCAGGGGCCCCGGATCTAAGTAACCTTAGAAATGAATGGAGATTGTGATACTAAAAGGCTAAAGGAACAATGCCGAACCACTGTACTCTAGTTGATAACGTTGTTTCCCAGAGGGGGACAGGGAACAATTCTGAAACCACTATATATATATTGGAACTGAACAATTAAGTATATGGACAATGGATGTTGGAGTGGGAACTTAATGATAAACACAGGGAAGAGGATAGAATGATCCACGTAGCAATGGATTAGAATTGAATATCAGTATGAGCATGTGTTTAGCTTAATATAAATATAGATGGTTATATAAACAAACATTTATTGGTTTATGTATATACACAGATTAGTGTGCACATATGTATGTACGTCCTTGGTCCCTGTGTGCAGCTCACATCCGTACGGGACATCAGCTGAGAGGACCCGAGAGCAAGACCTTGTAACAGTGAGCACACCAAGTACCCAGATTTTAGTTTTTAATACTATTCTCCAGTATGGAACCACCGTTTCTTGGACAAATGGTGATTCTCAGACTGGAGCGGGAAATATACAAGATGAGTTTGGAGTATATTGTAGTGCCAGAAAGTGTCAAACAAAACAACACAAAACAAAACAAAATAAAACAAAACAAAAATGATGGCGCCAACTGAAAGAGCTCCCAATGACCAAAGCTGGAAACATTTGAGCAACAAAATAAAGCAGCATTGGATTATAGCCCAAAGTATAAAATTAGCACAAGTCCATACTATGATAAATGAATAACTAAATTAATTCATTAGTGAGGGAAAAAGGACACATCTCTCACGCAGAACATTTTCATCATTTATGTAGTTATGTTGTACTCGAGGAGGTGGAGCATAACTCAGGGTAGTTAAGTGTGAGCTGTACACAGTGACTTTCTTCTGCTGACTATAGAAAGGGAAAAGAGAGGAAACCTGACAAATACTACTCAGGCTAGCTGAACAAGGTAATAATATCAATAATGAAATGCCATACCAATAGTCTTTACCCTTGGTATGAGAACAGTACTTTAACTCTGTGGTTTTCTTCCTCAAAATACATTACCCTCATCTAATCATGAGTAGTACATCAGGTAACTCCCAGTGAGAGAATTCTACAAAATACTTGACTAGTAATCCTCAACATTGTCAAGGTCATCAAAACAAGAAAGTCTGAGAAACTGTCACTACTAGGAAGAACCTAAGAAGACATGATGATTAATAATAGATGTAACTGGGTGTGGAGTATATGAGAACTCTCTGGACTGTCAGCACAATAATTCTGTTAATCTAAAATTGTTGAAGAGTTAAATTTTTAAAAAGGTAACACTGGAGACACTAAAAGAGAAATGAGCAAATCCACTATCATAATTGAACATTTTAACACTCTTCTCTCAGTAACTGGTAGAACAAGCAAAAAATCAGCAAGAACACACCAAATTTGAACAACATGATTAAGACACTTGTCCTAAGAGACACTCCTATATAAAAATGATATATGATAAATAATATATGATAAATATGATATATACATATATATGATAAATATGGTATATAAAAAACCAATATTGGGTATCGGTGGTATTGTATTGGGTGGTTTTAACTTGTATTTCCTGATTATTGATGCAATTGTGCCTTTTGGTAAGTTTATTCATCACTGTATATCTTGGTTTATGATTTCATTTTTAAAAGTCTCTTTCCCAGGGCGCCTGGGTGGCTCAGTTGGTTAATTAAGCGTCCGACTTCAGCTCAGGTCATAATCTCATGGTTCATGGGTTCGAGCCCTGCCTCGGGCTTTGTGCTGACAGCTAGCTCAGGGTCTGAAGCCTGTTTCAGATTCTGTGTCTCCCTCTCTCTCTGACCCTCCCCTCCTCACACTGTCTCTCTCTCAGAAATAAATAAAACATTAAAAAAAGTTAAAAAAAAAAAAAAGAATTTCATTCCCTTTTTAAGGCTGAATAATACTGCATTGCATGTATACAGCACCTTTTGTTCATCCATTGTTGATGGTCGTTTGGGTTGTTTTGAGTATTATACTCAAACCACCCAATACTTTTGAGTTCTGGTAACACAATACCCCACTAAAGGTAGGAAAATGTGAGCCATAGAGAGGATGAAGATATTTTCAACTCAGTGACCGGCAAAGGGCTCATAACTATAATATAGTATAAAGAGTTCTATAAACTAGTAGGAAAAAGACAACAGCTAGAAAAATGGGAAAAGAGACTTAAAAATGAAATTCATAAACCAAGATACACCGTGATGAATAAACTTATCAAAAGGTACTTAACTGCATCAGTAATCAGTAAATACAAATTAAAACCATAACAATTTTACTCATATAGATGATCCTCCAGAAAGGTTAAAATTAAAAAGAGTGTCAATGCTAAGTGTTGGTGGGGGTGTACAGCAACGAGATCTCTCCTATACAGCTGACGGCAATGGTACTGATACAGCTCTTGAGAAAACCAGTCTGGTCTTATCAACTAAAGTTGATGCCACAGATACTCTAAAACTTAACAATTCCGCTTCTATGTATATGCACGGCTGAAATGCATTTCATGTGTGCACCAAGAAACACGTATCTATAAGTATGTTCACAGCAGCACTTTTCATAATAGTAAAAAAGTTAAAAACAAGCCAAACGTAGCATCAGGATTGTTCACCTCCAGTGGAATGGATAGACAGTGGTTACAATGAGTGGGAGCAAACTATGGTTATCCCCAGTAATGTCACAATGGAATGTTGAGCTCTGTGAGCCAGACGTAGCATGTATTGTATAAATCCATTTGCATGTATTTCTATATATCTTTTAAAAAACAGCCCAAACCCCAGTGTTTGGGTATGTCTGCTTAGGTGATAAAAAATACAGAGAGAAGCAAAGAAGATTTCCATAGACGTTAACAAACTGGTCCGCTGACTACCTGTATTGGACCTACCCCAAATCTATTGAAAATTAATCAGTTGGATTAGGCTCAGAAATCTGCATTTTATTTTTTAAATATTTGTTTGTTTGTTTTGAGGGGAGGGCGGAGCGGGGGGAGTGCAAAGCAGGCTCCACACTGACAGCACAGAGCCAGACGTAGGGCTCGAACCCATGAACCCTGAGATCATGACCTGAGCCGAAATCAAGAGTCCAGCACTTAACCAAGTGAGCCACCAGGTGCACCAGAAGTCTGCTTTTATAATTAACACTCTCAAGTGACTCATCTGCTGCTGTAGGTTAGAAGAATATGTAGGGTGGGTTGCCGGCCCCTGTCATAGGGATGGTTAGGGCTGGTCTGTTGGCTGGATGCATGTCCAGGAGCATTTTAGGACTCTCGAGGCTAACGTCAATCCCACTCTAACTCCACTTCACACACATAGTTCCAGGTCCCTGGAGCTTGGAGACTCTCTTCTCTCTCTAATCAGGTGCCATAAACAATGTGCTACACTCTAGAAATTGACGACTGCCTATTCCATACAAGATAACTGTGCTTCCCACCAAGACCCTGCTTGCCCAAAGCATCATATATGGATTCAGGGAAACTGAGATATAGATGTGTTTTGAAGGGCAGACACAGCATCTGAAAGTTCCTGAATTACTCCTCTGCTGTTAAGTTCTACACTTTGCTGGGAAATCAACACAATTACTGTAATATTTCCTGTTCCATTCATAGCACTTATCTTGAAAACGACTCCCCTGGGGCGCCTGGGTGGCTCAGTTGGTTAAGCATCCAACTTTGGGTGAGGTCATGATCTCCCAGTTCGTGAGTTCAAGCTCCACATCAGACTCTGTGCTGACAGCTCAGAGTCTGGAGCCTGCTTCAGATTCTGTCTCTCTCTCTCTCTCTCTCTCTCTGCCCCTCCACCACTCACGCTTTCTCTCTCTCTCTCTCTCTCAAAAATAAATAAACATTATGGGCTCCTGTGTGGCTCAGTTGGTTAAGTGTCCAACTTTAGTTCAGGTCATTATCTCGCAGTCTGTAAATTTGAGCCCCCATTGGGCTCTGAGCTGTCGGCACAGCCTGCTTCAGATTCTGTGTCCTCCTCTCTCTCTTCTCACGCTCTGTCTCTCCCTCTCTCTCAAAAATAAATACTTTAAAAAACATAAGTCAGGCAGAAAAAGACAGATACCATATGTTTTCACTAATATGTTGAACAGGAGAAACTTAAGTTTATGTTAAACTATCCATAGGGGATAACTAACCATAGGGGAGAGGAAGGGGGAAAAAATAGTTAAGGAGAGGGAGGGAGGAAAACCATAAAAGACTCTTAAATACTAGAACAAACTGAGGGCTGATGGGGGTGGGGAAGAGGGGAAAATGGGTGATAATCATGGAGGAGGGCACTTGTTGGGATGAGCACTGTTATATGGAAACCAACTTGACATTAAACTATATCAAAAAAAATTTTTAATAAACATTAAAAAAAAAACTCCCTAGAGAAAGACTCACAAATCCTGCGAAAACAATTGTGAAATTAATGTTTGAGCTTTTCATGTATAAAAATTGAATGTTTTACCCTTTTATGATGAAATAGAACAAACACATCACTAAAGACAGTAAGAAAGTCCAACGAGTTGATTTAATGGGAGTGCAGGGTTATGGTTGGGAGTGTGGAAAGAGGAGAAGAAGCAAACGTTTATGAAGTCAAATGAGAAGATGAGTGAAAATCCCTCTCAGACCATAGGCTGTGGCTCATCGACCCACACACTCATAACTTGTTTCTTCTACTTGCTTCAGGATGTCATCACCAAATGGCTCTGCCTTCAGTTCCACACTGTCTAAGGCTGGTCCCCGAGAGTCTATAGATGCTAAGGGTAAGTGTGACAGTCAGCTGTGAGCCCATTTTCCAGAGTCATTGTCTTTGTAACTTTTAGGTTCTTGACTGTAGTCCATATAGTTTCCATTTGCCTCGTAAAGACAAGGTGTCTTTAGCAAGAAAATGAGTATGTTGCACTCTGGATCTGTGATTCTTAAAAATGAGTTATTCTGGGGCCAAAATGTCCTCGTCCATATTAATCCTAGAAGGTCACTTCTACCAGAGTTTGGAGATCTAGGTAAGGTATTCTGAACTTCACTGGGTACATCAAAAAAAAAACTAAGAAGAGAAACCAAAGCTATAAACCACCAACTAGTAAACTATATTTACTAATCTATAACCACCACCACCACCACCCTGTTTTATTTATAATAGAATAACACTAGCTGCTATAATATGTAAACTTTAAATTCAAGTTGCTTAGCTTAATAAAACATCATTTTTTCTTCATATACAGCCCAAGGTGGATGTTTTGCAGGCAGAATGTTCCACATGCTCCAGGGACACAGATTTCCTTTATTTTGGGGTTTCACCATGCCCCGGGGTGCCAGAGTTCTTTGTTTCCATCTGGTTCGTGGGGGGGGGTAAAGGGTAGGGAAGGTGCACCTGCTGTTTTGTCACTTCAGCCTGGAAATGACATGCGCCTCTCATGGTCACATTGCAATGGGAGTAGTCACAAGGCTCCACCTAGATTCCAGAGCGTTTAGAAGTGGGTTCCTCGGCTGGGCGGCCACTTCCTGGTAGCTACTGCACAGTATAGAAGGGAACAACTGGCCTTCCTGCCACATGCGCTGATTTGGAGGAAAAAACACAACAGGTTTTTCCCAGATAATTTTCATCTCTCAGGGTTCCATCTTCAAAGGTTTAATAAGACTAATGACTGAAATCTTGAACGAGGACTTTTTAGCACTTTACACAATCTTCTGGCCATCTTTCTCTCTGTAGTATTTAAAGGTTTAACATGCGCACATGTGTGGTGGGCACAGGGTGGACATTACTTCCCAAATAAGGGAGATAAACGTCTTTAATGGCTGCCTTGGACAATCCCTAGTCTGCTGGCTTTCCTAATAAAATGTGGCTTTATTGGAATCGTACATTTGGGGCAGGTTTTCTGTGTTCTTCCACGGTTTGTTGAGGCAAAAGGACAGGACAGCTAAGCATTTGTGCTACTGTTAAAACCGGGACAGACTTTCTTTCTCCCCTGTGCAGTAATGAACACGAAATTAAAACACACTGCGTAGCTCCGAGACAAGTCTGAGCGAGGGTACGGGGAATTAAACAGCCTGATCACGTCATTCACAGTAAGTTAAGGTGACAGTGCATCTGATCTGAGTAGCACAGAGTCCAGTCCTATTGCATTTATAGTGCTATCTGTGCCCTCCAGAATTCCGATTAAGCATGCTAATTACCCATGGCTGGTGAGCGCTGGCAGCTGAGGGTCCTGGAGCTGGATGGGTGGAGGCTCTTTTTTTTTTCTTTTAATGTTTATTAATTTATTTATTTAGGAGAGACAGAGCGAGAGAGCGGGAGTGGGAGTGAGAGCGAGAGCGAGAGAGACAGAGAGAAAGAGAGTACAAGTGGGGGAGGGGCAGAGAGAGAGGGAGACACAGAATCTAAAGCAGGCTCCAGGCTCCGAGCTGTCAGCACAGAGCCTGATTCAGGGCTTGATCCCACGAACCATGAGATCATGACCTGAGCTAAAGTTGGATGCTTAACCGAATGAGCCACCCAGGCACCCCTTGAAGGGTGATAACATGAGTCACAAAAGCAATAATTTCCCATTACCTGATGTTTTCCTACCTCCTCTCCTGCTGTAAGGGCACAGCACTGGTAGGAGGAAAGGAAGAAACGGCATAAACATATACATTCAAGATGATGACTTATTAAGGGATTTGGCTCATGGTGCCTTTTTCACTCTCCTCCAGTGGTCATTTTAACTTCAAAATGACTACTCTCTTCCTTGAGAGGTGACAGTACATCTCAGCAGAATTATTTAACTTACTCAAGTAATAACTTCTTTATGCTTCTTTTCAATTTCCATGTCCAGTTTTTAGATTATCAACTGTAATTGTGCTAGAAGCCCCTAATGATAGGAGTTAAAACATGAAGTCAAGTGACCATTGATCTATTGATTGTCTCTTTGTAGATATATATCCATTCATATATATGCAAATCAGATGGGCTGTTTTTAAGTGTGATTTATGATCATCATAGGAAAAATATTCTCAAATTCTTTTCCACAAGAATTCACACACATCATAGTGTATACACTATGTATGTCTAGTTTTCACCCATCATCATAAAATTGAGCCCCTTCACTCATTTTGCCCATCCCCAACCCCCTTCCTCTCTGGTAACCACCAAGTATCTAGGAGTTTGTTTTTGCTTTGCTTTGTCTTTTTTTTTAGATTCCACACAGAAGTTCAATTATAAGGTATCTTTCTCCTTCTGACTTATTTCACTTACCATCCATGTTGTCACCAATGGCAAGATATCGTTCTCTTTTATGGCTGGGTAGTATTCCATTACATAAATACCACATCTTCTTTGTTCTTCAATGGATAATCAATCAACGGATACTTAGGTTGTTGCCATATCTTGGCTATTATAAATAATGCTGCAATGGATACAGATGTGCATGTATCTTTTCAAATTCATGTTTTCATATTCTTCAGATAAATACCCAAAAGTGGAAAAGCTAGATCATTTGGTAGTTCTATTTTTAATTTTTTGAGGAATATCCATACTGGTTTCCATAGTGGCTGCCCCAATTCACATTTCCTCTAACAGTGCGAGAGTGTTCCCTTTTCTCAGCATCCTTGCCAACACTTATTATTTCTTGTCTTTTTGATGATAGCCACTTTAACAGGGTGAGATGATAGATCACTGTGGTTTTGATCTGCATTTCCCCAATGATTAGTGATGTTGACTGTCTTTACATGTGCATGTTGGCCATCTGCATGTCTTCTTTTAAAAATGTCTATTCAGATCCTCTGCCCAATTTTTAATTGGTTTGCTTGGGGTATTTGTTGTTGTTGTTGTTGAGTTGTGTGACTTCTTTATATATTTTGAATATTAACCCCTTATTGGATATATTATTTGCAAATATCTTCTTCCATTCAGTAGGCTGCCTTTTTGTTTTGTTGATGGTTTTCTTCACAGTGCAGAAGCTTTTAAGGTTGATGTAGTCCCAACTGTTTATTTTTGCTTTTGTTTCTCTTGCCTTTGGAATCAGATCCAAAACACATCACTAGGACCAGTGTCAAGGAGGTTACCATCCATGCATTCACCTAGGAGTTTTATGGCCTCAGGTTTTACATTCAAGTCTCTAAACCATTTTGAGTTAACTTTTGTGTCGGGTATAAGAAAGTAGTCTAGTTTTATTTTGTTCTATATGGCTGCCCAGTGTTCCCAACACCATTTATTGAAGACACTGTCCTTTCCCCATTGTATCTTCTTGGCTCCTTTGTTGTAAACGAATTGACTATATATGTGCAAGTTTACTTCTGGGCTCAACGAAAAAAAGCAAGCATTATAAAACTGCATTACAACAAATAGAAATTGTTAAACAATTCAACTGTCTCTCCATTTACACTCTGCTTGCTTGACAGGGACTGATGTTATCATTTTTCTGCTGGTACAGCCCTTCCAGGTTCATCCTGTTGGGAGAAGGAGACTCCTTGGGCTTTGGTGTGACTATCTTCATTGTCTTTTCTTGGGGCCACCCTTGTTTGACTTCCATTGTTGCCAGATGAAAGCTGCCTCTGTGGGAGAGTTGAGGACTTGGAGGGCCAGACCAGCAGGCTGCTCCCTCACCTCACCACCTAGTGCCCTCATTCCCACCCCTCCTCCTCTCAGTGCGGAGCCTGATGTCCACTGGCTGCCCCGCTGTGCAACGGAGGGAACAGGGTGACTTAGAACAAGCCCCACTCCATGCAGGGTCCCCACATTTACTCCTAGTACGGGCTATCACAGCAGAGGGACCTTGGAATTCTGGGATTTAGTTTATTTTCTGGCTCATTTGTATGCCTTGCTGGGGGAAGTGCATTTCTTTTAAACTATAGAAAGACAACAATCTTACATTGGCCACAGATAAATCTAGATAGGCCGATAAGCAGTTTGCCTGGGATTGATGTCCTTACCACACTAAAAGTGACAGATACGCTGAATGATTGCCAGCACAATCCCCAAAATCCCTGAATAGAGTCCCCAGACTCAGGAAATACCGATGTCCCTTTCAGCAGTTAGGAATTTTATTCTGCTCTCTCTGACTATATTAAATTAGGAACCAGTGTAATAAATGGTTATGACTTTGCCAGAAAATATTCAAGTATAAGGCAACAGTTTCCAAATTCCCTGCAGAGACTGGACACAAAGGAACACTGGCAGCCAAGCCTGTTATTAAGAAGGTCACAAGATGCCATCTGTTACTGTGTGCACTTTACTGTTGAAGCATAACATCTACTAGGAGGGGGTGCAATAGAAAGTGCCGGTGAACTTAAAAGATAGCACTCTACTGGGCACTACAGTGACTTTAGTGGGCTTGCGTGAACAAACTGTGCTATTTGCCTACGGGATGCATGGGGTTGGTTATATGGGGAGAAGATGGGAAGACGGCAAAGCACTGTTTTCAGGTCTGTTCTTGGTTATGACTCCAATGTAATTTGGGATGATACTGGCTGGTTTTCCTAATCTTTTTTTTTTTTTGTGCCTGTTTTTAGTCATTATAAAATATGATAATAGCATTCTTTATCTGTAATTATGAAAGTGCCTTATTTTTTTAGTCACAACTTGAAAAAAATTTTTAATCACTAGAGAAGTTGAGGGAATAGCACAAGCAATATTTACTACTTTCGCCTATATTCATCAATTGTTAACATTTTGCCCCTTTTGTTAACATGGAACTTTGTCTCTTTTTTATTTATTTTATTTTATTTTTTTTTAAATGTTTTATTTATTTCCAGGAGAGAGAGAGAGACAGCGTGAGCAGGGGAGGGT